AACAGTAACGTTAATGTTTAGCTGCTTGTAAAACTTTTCTTCAAGGAACTTGGTCTAAGAAGCACGTACATTACTCACAACAACCTAAGTTATTGAGAAGAACGCCACCCTGCTATGATTGGTAATCCTATAACCTGGTTTTTCTTGTGGAATCTTGTAACTTCAGTGAAACATTGTCAGCCCTTTTTTTTTTTTTTCTCTCACATATTCCATTGGGGTGGGACCCAGCTTAGTTATCAGACTAGAGTGAATCCTGCCTGGTCTGGAGACTTCCCATGAATCAATACAGTACTGACCTTTTTTTTTTTTTTTTTTTTTTTTTTTTTTTTTTTTTTTTTTTTTTTTTTTTTTTTTTTTTTTTTTTTTTTTTTTTTTTCCTTCGGTAACTGGCTTTCAAATGCAGACCATCTCCAGAGAGGGTTTGTCTTCTGTTTTAGAGGGAGATTGTGGATTTAAAAAGAGGCTTTTTCAAAATAAATGCAAACCTGCATCTGTAATGTATTTCCTACGTGTGCCTTTGAAGCATATTCTGGGTACATAGAGTTACAATCTCCTATATTTTAGAAGCAAATGGCAGGAGAAAAATCACAATAGATGAGTAGCATCTAGACATTTGCCAAATACAGAACTTTGGGAGAATATTGAGGAAATCCTCATAGATACTTTTTAAATAATTGTACTTTTTGTAATTTTGAAAAGAGGACTTGAGAAAGCAATCAGCAGTCTCATTTTCATCTGTATTCTCATTCTCAGATATTTTAATATTTACCAAATCTATGGATTACTATTTTTAAAGTTGTCAGGTTTTCTGGTTCCCTCCTTAACAGGAAAAATAACACTTATCTAATTAAAAATGAGGATTCCCAATTTATTGAGTAGTTTAAAACATAGGACAGGTACAACTAAGTATTTGAAATGCCGTTTTTATTACTGGAAAAACAGATTAGAGTTCTCTTTCCCCAGGCTTGTGTGAGTTTGTTCTTAAGCCTTTTAGGATAGTCAGAGGAAGTAGATGGTCACTAGGCGGCTTGTACCCAGTCCCAAGCGCGGAAGGCAAGCGTCAGTTTGGCTTCTCGATCATAAACCATGTTCCCGCTGTTTTATGTGCCTCTGGTGGAGGGCTGGTCAAGAGATGCTCCAGTCTGGGTGGGGCTGCAAATCCAACTTCCCCTGTGCAGCCAGAGAGAAGAATTATGAATGTATATTACATTAAAAAGATAGAGCAGCTAACCCAGTTTCTGGGCTGGGTGATAAGTTGAAATCCATACATATAGCAGTGCTAATTTAAAGTTCCATAATTGTTTGTGCCATGAGAATGTGTACATTTAAAAGGATTTTTTTTAAAGCAGTTACGAGAAATGCCCCCCTCGAGAGTAGCATTAGTGAAGGCATGTTTAATCCGTGGGAGTGACATAAACTCAGCCCTCTTGATACAGATTAAGGGTGGACGCGGGGACATGGAGATCTGGGGGTGGCGAAGGGAGGCGTGTCATGAAATTATTTGGTAGACATGAGGGACTTGAAAGTCGTTAACCAGAAGTGTAACTGAATGCCTAAAAACCTGCAGGGCAATTTCTAAAAGTAGGAAAAAATTCTTTTAAGAATCAAAAGCTTCCAGACTTTTAGGGCGGTAACTGATCTTTTTCTAATCTCTTCAGACTTTTTTCCACTTATTGCCTTAATATCCAGGTGGTTTCTTAGAAGATTCTCCCCCCGCCCCAAGTTATTTACCTAGAGCCCCTTGCTGAAAGAAATTCCTTTGTGTCAATTTGTCATAGAGGAGGAAAATGATAAAAATTGCCAGGCATTAATAAGTTCATGGAGTAGCCGTGAGCACCAGTCACCGTTTCTCCTCGTTGCCCAGGGCTGTGCCTTCAAGGCAGGTGACAGACTGTGTGATGGGAACAAGCCTTATAAGGCTGCAGAAACCTGGCAGAGTCATTTTATCTAACATCGCCATGTTTGTTTGCTTTTTTTGTCAAATGGATGACTTCAGTGAAAATTGGTCACATGTAGCTCTAGTAACTGTGACCTTAGATATTGACCTTTCAGACACAACTCTTGACACTTGCCCGAGGGCAGGCCCTGCGTGGACACCAGTTTGTACAGACCCTTGTCACACACTGGCTCCAAGTCGAAAGAGAATTTTCATTACTCACCAAGCTGCCAAATTCTACTGATTACTCTCGTCAGCATATTCCATTGATTGTTGAATGGTAAATGAGCTACCTATTTTTGTTTGGGACACGTGTCATCTATGAATTTTCAAAGCCTTGAGGAGTTTCTCTTGCAAGGGGAGGAAGGAGGCTATTCTCCATGGATGTGGCTCAGATTGGTAAATGGAACCTCAGAGTTTGGGACCTTTCCCTTCCTTAGCATTGCTGGTAGATTTCTAGAACAGGCTGCTTGGTCTTTATTGATTTATTGGTCTTACTATTTAAATACACTCATCGCCTTGGCCTTCTTGGGCCCCGTTAGTAGACACAAAGCCCCTTGAAGTAGGCTCTATGGAAGTGGAAATGGGCTTCCCTAATTTGGTCATCCTCCAAGGTTGTGTATTGCACGTGTAACATCGGTGTCACACACACCTTTAGGCCACGTGAGTGAGAACGTAGCTGAACCCGGAACTGCCCCGGACTCTACGTAGGAACCTTGGTTGTCATCAGGTTCACTCTCGGTGTCCCGCTTTCTGAATCCTGTCTCCAGTGTGCTCCAGTGGGGTGTCTTCTAGATTGCTATCTTCTTTGCAATGTGTCCTGCCTTCTCGGCAGGGTGGCACCTCTCCCGGAGCCCTGGTCTGTTAGCTCACCCTTCTGGCCCGCTAGGTCTACCAAACTGAAGTGTCCCCGGGGAAATTCACAAGGGCAGCTGTCGACCTTTGGAGGGTGGACATGGTTGTACTCGAGTGTGTTTCCCCTTATTTTCTCCCTCGCCATGTGGCCCTTGGTTTTTTATCTGCTGCTGGATGCCGTCCAGGGGCTAATCAGTACCGTTTCCCCGCCTGCACACCTCCTTCAAGCTAGCCTTCTAACTGCTTTTTGTTCATGGCTCCAACTCTTTCAATGAGGAGGCGAACGCTTTTTCTGTCCCACGTCACTGCAGATTCAAGGCCCGGCATGTTCTCACTTACACTGCCTCACCTGGTCTCATACATAGTGTGAGAGCTGAAGGTAAGCCCCCATGCTTTGCCAGATGATGGTGGACAAATAAAAGGTGACCCTCCAATAGCAACTCACAAATGCATGAAATGTTTTGATCTCCAGACAGACTGCCAGAATTTCTCTTCTCTAATTCCTCTTTGTAGTGATAACATTTTTCTTTTTGTGATTCTTTTTGTTTTTAAAGAGAATAGTGTAGTACCTTGAATCAATTGCAGTTATGATTGTTGTCACTATTTCTATTTGACAAGTTCCAATTCTCTCGAAATGATTGTATTCGGTTGTGCACTAGTGTCAATAAAATTGACATTTGTGAAGCAATTTCTGGCCTTTTTCTCCGGGTTTTACTGGGTCTGGTGGTGTGTGGGGTGATTGTGTCTTTGTCTCACATCAGGACTTTGTTTTAATGATGTCTACGAAAATGCAAGGAATTGAAATGGAGGGATTATTTTTTAATGCGAACTTCTGGAATCTGACTTTACCTGACATTTTCTAATCTTGTTCTTCAGGGATGATTGTACTGACCAGCGGTCAGTGGGCAGGATGTCTGCTTTCCGTTGCTTTTGTGGGCGTGCTTTCACCCGTGTGTAGGTGACACAGCTAGCTGGTCAACCTGGGACCGGGTGGGGGCTGGTGGTGGCTTCTGCAAGGTTCATTCATACTGGGATCAGGTTCATTACCCAACTCCATCAGCTTCATTCGAGGCTGACCTGTCTTGTAATTTCCGAGTGAATATGAATGAATCCAGAGAGAAAGGACAGAGGTCCAGAAAATGGGGGGATTCCTGGACAACCGCACTTCCCCTTTCCTTCCGAGATCCTCGACACTGTGCTGAGTAGCCATGAGCATGAACCTGTATATTGGAAAATGGAGAAAGCGTTTATGTCGTCTTTCCCTCATGATTTATCTCAGGACTTTGGCTTGTGTTCACTCCTCTTATCTGGGTGTGACTTTGCAGATCTGCTTTAGAATTATAAAACTGTTAGGCAAAACACTTAGTTTAGAAGTAGATTTTGAAACATCTCATTTTATTAGTAGTTTCAAAAGGTTGAGGTATTGGTATTGGCAAAATTCTATTGGCACAGAGTTTCACGTGCACATCATGTCATTTGGCTGACTCGGGTAATTATACATTTTCCTGTTATTTACTGTGGTATCCTTCTCAGAGGAATGATTAATTACCTATCATTTTTTGACTCATAAAGGGGAATTGTGGTAATGTAATGACCTCCAGCTTTGCATTTTTAAATGATCACCTTTGCTGTAATTGTGATACTAGTGTTTCTGTCCCAAACAGTGAGAGAGACATGGAGTGACATCACCAGGTATAACAAGCTCGCTTCTGTTCTTCGTAGAATGGGGAGGTGGCTGCTTTCCCTTTCTCTAGCTGTGGCCCGTTGTTCCAAGATGTAGTCTGTCCTGGGTGTCCCAAGTCCTTTAGTCTTCTATTAGAATAGCTCTATTTTCTAGTCACTTCCCACGTCTCCTTGTGATATAGACACTGTCTTTCTCGAGTAATTCTTAGAAGCTAAGGCAGTAGTTAGGAGATGAAGATCCTATTTGCAGATACACGATGCTTTTAAACTATTGTAATTATGCTCTAAGCAGAGTTCTCCACCTTATCATTAATGACATAACTGTGTTCCACTGAATAGTATCTTTAGGACTAAGGCAGCTGCAACTTAGGGAAAAATCTAGAAAATCACGAAGGGCATCATAAGTGTGCCATATGGTAGTCAAGCTTCTAAAGGTTTGATTAGGTGAAAATTGTAAGTGGACACCAGGTCCCAGAAGGAATTACTTTTTTTTTTCTTTTCTTTAATACTTCTCATCCCCAAACAGGCTCCCTGACTGGCAGCCCTCACCTTTCAGAGCTGTCCATCAACTCGCAGGGAGGAGCTGCACCCACCAGCACCGTCCTGTCACCCAACCTGAGCCCCGACACAAAGCAGGCCTCCCCCTTGGTCAGCCCATTGCTGAACGACCAGGCGGGCCCTCGGACGGACGATGAGGACGACGGCCGGAGAAAGGTGTGGGGATGGCAGGCGCTCGCCTGTTGATCTTTTGTTTTCATTTCCAGTAATACACATAACATAAAATTTACCATGTGAACCATTCTTAAGCACACCGTTCAGTGACATTCAGTGCACTCACAGTGTTGTGTGACCATCATCACTATTTCCAGAACTCGGTCATCCTTCGAACAAACTCCATACACGTTGAGTACTGCGTCCCCACGCCCGGCCCCTGGCAACCACCGTTCTGCTTTCTGTCTCTGTGAACTGACTACCCTAGGCATTAACCTCGTATAAGTGGAATCATACAGTGTCTGTCCCTTTGTAATTGGTTTATGTCCTTTAGCATAATTGTCCTCAAGGTTTATCCATGTTGATAGCACATGTCAGAATGTCCTTCCTTTTTTAGGTTGACTAGTATTCCATTGTATGGAGATACCACATTTCCATTGATGGGACAGCTGGGTTGTTTCCTCCTCTTGGCTATTTCATCTTAATGTGCTGGGAACGTGGGTGTACAAGTATCTGTTCTCATCTCTGCTTCATGTGTATACCCAGAGGTGGAATCGGTTGGACTCTTGTGGGAAGCAAGATGGTTAACAATAAGGGATTTCCTTTTAATTGCTGGTTAAAGAGAAGCAAAACCGGTGGCAGACCTGCTCTAGGGCGGTGCTGCCTGCCCGCCTAACCAATGGACTGTAGCTGCTGTAACCCTCCTCCCTTTGGATCAGCACCCTTCGTGTTCCCATGAACAATGTAACTTCCATTTCCTAAAAATCAATAGCACCAGCCCACGATGCCCAGCACAAAGGCTGCTGTGCTTTCTGTTTCATTCATTTCCTTGAAGCCTGCGCCACTCTGTTATCCTAATTAATTAGATTTTCAGGTGCCCAGTATTGAATGAATAGTCCTCAGTGGCAGCTAACACACTCATTCGAGGCCTTTCACTGCGGGTGGTATTTACACGGAAGGAAACATTCCTAGGCAGTTTTCTCATCATAGAAATCCATTTTCTATCCTAGTTCCTCTCACACCAAAAAAGGAGAATAGATAAGAGTTTATTTAGCCTTGATACCAGTCAACCAGAGATCGTAAGTTAGCAATGTATCACTTTAGTTGGGACTTTCTTATAATCAGGACATGCTTAGAGACTTTAGGCTCAAATGATTATGTCTTCTTTCTTTTAATGGATTTTGCAGAGATTCCCAACTGACAAAGCATACTTCATCGCTAAGGAAGTCTCCACCACTGAGAGAACATATCTGAAGGATCTCGAAGTCATCACTTCGGTATGTGTAGCATTTCCCCTAAAGCCTTAGATTACATAATTTATCTTGCCTGATACTCAGCTTTAGGAGACAAGCTGGATCTAATTAAATGTTGGGTTCTCTGACTCCAATTAAAAGAATTTTGGTTCTGGGTTGTAGAAATTAGGCAGTAATAGTATGTTTAATTTGGAATATGCTCTAAAAAGCTTTTATAACTGTGATTTTTTAAGTGCAAAGGAAGGAAGTTTCTAAAGTGGAGAAATTTAAAATTAAACGTGTTACTGTCTGCCTGCACCGATGGAGAACATTTCATGTTTTGCCCTTTATTTTTGCTTGAGGGAGACCTCAGAGGCTAATTAGAAGCCTTGTTTTATCTTTGCCAATAAATTGAGCCATGTCAGCAAAATCTACCCAAAAGACTGCCTTTTATTAATCAGTCCCGTTCAGTCTTGGAAACAAATTCAAAGCATGGCAGATGACTTCATGATCCTGGATTCTGGGAAGGAACCTAGCCCACTGGAGGTCAGTTGGAATCGTTGGGTTTCTGTGCCTCTAGGGCAGCCGTGGTGACCTGGGCAGGTGCTCAGCAATCATTGTGAGACCCACCTGGACTCGAGGTCAGTGAGATGAGTAATGTGTGTGAAGGCAGAGGCTTCACCTCTCTGGTTCAGCCATCTTCCTGCTCAGCATTTCAACAGAGGAGCAGAGATGGAAGTTTCTCAAGGACTAAACCAGAGGGCGTGGAGTGGTGTAACTCAGCGGTGACCCAGTGAGCTGGCCGTAATGGAAGTTTTGATTTCAGTATCTGCCCACTTCAGAGATTTGTCCCAACTTCCACAGTCAATTGGTAACAAACTTCAGGAAGCGGTAACGAAGAGATGGGTACTTCTTACCCCATCTAATGAAAGGAGGGAAAGCAGTAAAGCTCGAAGGCCCTTGATGCTCTTGAAATGCTACAGACGCGATAGGAAAGCCCTTTAGCCTCCACGCGTGGTGGGCTGCAGCGTTACGTCTGAAGAGTTGCAGACCTTCATCCTTCACCTTAACGCCTCTAAGAGTGTCCTCTTTTTATTCCCAGTGGTTTCAGAGCACAGTAAGCAAAGAGGACTCCATGCCCGAAACCTTGAAAAGTCTCATTTTCCCGAATTTTGAACCTTTGCACAAATTTCATACAAATTTTCTCAAGGAAATTGAGCAACGACTCGCCCTGTGGTGAGTACAATCCCGTGTTCTGTCTCCCACCACCAACTCTTTCTGTTTCTCATGTTATTTTTATGTTGTTCCTTATAAGCAGCACCCATGAGCAAAGATAAAGCGAGAAGCTGGCTTCAGACAAGCCAAGCTTACAGTGATTTCCTATTAAATCTACACATGTTAGATCTCATCCTGGATTTTTTTTGCCTTTGGCTTACAGTTCTTCAAAATGCATGTTTTCTGATGATAATTAAATGAATACACCACAAAATACAGTAATTTCTTCTGGAAGGATGATGCAGGTTATAAAGGGTAGAGGCAAAAGAGGGACTTGTAGGGGTGTTGGTAACATTTTACTGGTGCTTGCTTTATAGTCATTTAAGTATTATATGTCTCATGTAGCTTTCAGTATTATATTTCACGGTGTTTATAAAGAAAAATAAGAGCCCCATACACCACACACACACACACACACACATACACTTTTACGTTGAATCCCACTGCTAGGAATTTACCTTAAGGGTACATTCTAATATGTGAAGTGACAAATGGCAAAGAGAGCCATGGCAGAATTAAAAGACTGGAACTGACCTAAGTATCCAGGAAGAGCAGGCTGGCTAAAAATAATGTTAAGTCTGTTTATTAAATACCATATAAAAGATTGATATGTGAGTGCAAAAATTCAGGAAAAATTGTCTATACTATAGAATGCAAAGTCTGATGTCCCCTTCGCCTAAAGTGGAGCCTAAAGTGGAGTCTTTTATAGAAAATTCTTTTTCTAAAAATTATTTATTTATTTATTTGGTTGCACCGGGCCTTAGTTGCAGCTCGTGGGCTCCTTAGTTGCGGCACGTGGGCTTCTTAGTTGCGGCTCCAGGGCTCCTTAGTTGCGGCTCGCCAGCTCCTTAGTTGGCAGCAGGCGGCCTCCTTAGTTGTGGCATGCGAACTCTTAGTTGTGGCACTAAGAGTGTGGGATCTAGTTGCCTGACCAGGGATTGAACCCAGGCCCCCTGCACTGGGAGCACGGAGTCTCAGCCACTGTGCCACCAGGGAAGTCCCCTATAGAAAATTCTTACGGGGTTTTTTTTTTTTTTTTAAAGATGTGTGTAGAAACATGAGGAGTTGTCTATCTACTAAACACGCATTTGAAAAATGCCAGCAGATGATAGCAGACATTTTCTGCTATGTTTCGGGTGGAAATGGAACCCACTGTATACCGTATCCATCCTCACTACAGGTGAGAGTTTGGTTCAGAGTGGTCTCGGGGGTGTTCAGTGACTGTTAGGGCCTGCAGAAGCCCTGGACGAGGTGGTCCTGCCCCAGGTGATTCCAAGCACGAGATTCAGGCACCAGTTAACAGGTTCGCAGAGCTGCTCCCTGTGTTGGGAAGCAGATGTGCTCAGATGTCTGACTTTGTATGTTTTTCGTACCTGGAGATAATTCAAGTGCAGCTCTCTTTGCTGTGATAGAAGGAAGTAGGAGGCTTCACTCAGGTGCCCCTGGGGGGAGAGCACAGCCAGGATGGGGAAAGAGCAGGTAGAAAATCAGCTTCACTGAAGGTGGGGAAAGAATGAAAATGCCAGTTTAGAGTCTTACTCTAGTTTGGTGCTACGAATGCAAGAAATGAAAAAAAAATATTCTACAAAATCTAACTTTACCTTCCCGAAATTTACTGGAAGCCTTTCGATTGTGTTCTGCCGTATCGTCTCCTCATTCATACAAAGTTGAATGATGCTTTCATAATGGAGTCAAAGACCTTCCAGCTCTGGAGAAACCAATTAACAGTTCATTTTCTGGCCAGTGAGATGTGTATTAATATAGTCTTCATAGGTTCAGAGCATCTTGAGATGGTATCACTAGAGCAGTTTTGGTCCACATGGCAGTTGATTTAAATAAGGTTGGGGAGGGCTTCCCCGGTGGCGTAGTGGTTAAGAATCCGCCTGCCGGGCTTCCCTGGTGGCGCAGTGGTTGAGGGTCCACCTGCCGCTGCAGGAGACATGGGTTCGTGCCCCGGTCCGTGAGGATCCCACATGCCGCGGAGCGGCTGGGCCCGTGAGCCATGGCCGCTTAGCCTGCACGTTCGGAGCCTGTGCTCCGCAATGGGAGAGGCCACAGCAGTGAGAGGCCCGCGTACCG